CTGTCTTTAGGTGGGCTACAGTCGCCCCTCCTTGCCCTGTAGTTTCTCCTGGTCTTAAGCAGTCCTGCCCCTGCCTTCCAAAGTGCTGGAATTAAAGGTGTGAACCACTGTGCTCATCCTGGAGTTTTTCTTAAAAGAAGCTCAACAGCTGATCACTTTGTAAATATCAAGCATCATATGTAAGCTCATTCAGTTTACACAATTACCCTATAAGTTCAATATGATTTATTGATCTTCCCATTATAGATGGGAAGACTGAGGCTCAGAACGCCCATGTGACTTGCTCAGAAACATCCACTACTAGGCAGGGGAGGTCAGCCCACTCTTCGGTGCTTCCCAGGGAGAATCAAGCCCAGCAGCTAATGTCAGTGACTCAGGAGGTACACAAGTGAGCAGGCCTGTAGGCGTCTCTCTACAGCCCTAAACCTGTGGCAGTGGGTCCCAGAGACAAGGCTTCCTCAGGGTCACAGGCTCAGAGTCACCAACCCTCCCACAGTTGCTCACCTTCTGCTGCAAGGGGGCTCCTTAAAACCCCTTATCCATTGAGGGGCATAGGAACTGAGACAGTCAGCATCCAGGAAGCCCCCCAAATGCCCTCACACACTGCACACAGATCACCCTCCCCCCAACTTGTCTGTTTTTTGAAGACAACAGATAACCATTCACCTTTAATGGCATACAGTACATTAAAGCAAGCCCTGATTTTCTACTAGGAGGCTGAAGAATCCGTTCAGCTAAGTTTCCAAGGGCAGGAGTGTAGAAAACGAACCACTCCAGGCAGGCAGTCCATGGGGCAAATCAGATGTCTAGACGCGACAGGCCTGTTTGCTCTGGGATTCCTCTTGGAAACCATGACATCCTGAATGGTTTGCCCTGGGTTACAGGAGACTGGCTTGCAGGCTTCATGCCCTGATCCGCCGACTTCTCTACCCTCATTAATCCCCAGGCACTGACAGCCAGAACAGCTGGCTAAACCCATGAAGCACTCTGGGGAGAGAGTGATTGTTTTAACTTATATTAACGTCTTGGGAAATTATTTTAAGGAGATAAATATCAGTACTCCTCTCTATCTATTCATGAGTGAAAATGTTAGCAGGAAATACAGGTCAGCTTCTTGAACATCCCTATACACAGACTTTGGGTTGACAGCATCTTTCTGCCCACCCCTCCTTTCAATCTGCTAAATCAGGCACCTTTTCTCACTTTCTTCTTCAAATTGTTCGTTTGACTTGAGAAACAATAAATAAATAAATAAATAAATAAATTAATAGCTCCTTGCCCTAGAAGATCTACTTTTTCTAACCTGAGGTTTTTCTTTACTATATTATGTCTGGTTGAGGAGAAACTAGGATCCTTTAATCAGAACAGCTCTGGCTGATGAGATTAGATTCAGGGACTAACAGATTGGTCTTTTCTGTGCAGGGAAGCCCAGGACCTGAGGGGTGAGGAGGGGGCAGCTGGGAGACCCTACTGTTCTGTCCTGCCCTGCATGCATCCTAGAGAGATGGTAGCAGATTCACAGTTCTGATTGTCCCCCAGCCCATCTCCCCAGAGTCCATGTTCTCCTGCAACAAAGCCCAAGTAGGGTGGCACATTGGGCTGAGCCTCAGGGGGGCAGGGTCTGGGGCCAGGAAGCCACAGTGGAGACTGTCAGCCCAGCAAGGTTTGGTCAAGATTGTCTCAACGGGCTGCTGTGTCAGCCTGCCATTCCTCTGCATCTCTGGGGCCATGCAGACCAGTTCTGACAAGGGCTGGTATTTTTGTGGCAGTGATGAGCAGACGTACTGCCAGCTGCAGCACCTTCTCAATCCGTAGGCTGCTGTGCTCAGGCTGAGAGGCCTGGCTGACTCTGGCACTCCTAGAGAGTGGAGGAGGTGTCAGACGGTGGGCAGCAGGAAAGCGGACCAGCGAGGGGGTTCACCAGGACAGGAGGATTAGGACAGAGCTTCCCGGCAGAGAGCCACACTCTGTTAACCAGGAAAAAACCTTTGACAGGGGAGGCTGTGGCCTCAGGGACTAAGCCTCAGTCATGCAGTGTGTTATATGAGGCAACAATTTGTGAAAGCAGAGCATGGTCCAGCCACTGTGGGACACTGGTGCAGAAGGCCCACATGGAGAGGAACAGTGAGCGCTGACAACGGTTAGCCCTGATTACCTTGAAGACCCCACTCCTGTCTTCCAGCTGTCAAACTTTCCAATTCAGCTTCCTATCTTCCAAATATGCGCATTGCCAAGAACATGGAGAAAGGATTGGCCTTGATGAAATACAAGGAGAGTCCTAAGTCTGTCTCTCCCCACCTGGGATCTTAAGAAACCCCTTTGCCCCTCAGAGTCCTTATGGGTTTCTGATTCCATCCTAACTTACCCTGCTCCATGCTGAGACTTTTCTGCTTAGATCTGCCCCCGGCAGCCCCTCAGCCTTCCATGTCTCCTGGTATCATTCTTTACATGCCCCCACCCAGCACACACCCATACACCTGGCCTCCAGGCAAGAAGGTTCACATTTGGGGAGTTGGTTTTCTCTTGTCTTCCGTGAAATCCTGTGAGGCCCCTTGAGCTCTTCAGCTCTTTTGAGGTTTTCAGAGGGTGGAACTCAGAAGCCAAAATTGTAGAAGAAAACTCTTCAGCCAGCTCAGCGGGAGTCTTGGCTGCAGCACCCATGTGCATGGGGGGACAAAGATGAGGACTACTGAGGATAGGACTGTTCCTCCAACTGTGATTTTCCATCTCCGTGGAATTTCACACACGCACTTTCAGAATAAAAGTAAGTTTAGGGAATTTGACCTAATCTCAGCCATAGAACCCTGGTATTTATCAGAGAAAGCCTGGGATCCCATGTATGGGTGTTCTCTGGTGTGGGTTAAAGGCTTGGAGCTCTCCCTTGATTTAGCTAGAAGAAATTGGCACTATCCTTCTTTGGAAGAGTGCATTTTTGTCCCTAGAAATAAGTCTTTTGATTAAAATTGGGGGTATGACAGTGGAAGGAACCTTAGAAATCATCTGGTTTAACTTCACCCCATGTTATAGATCAAGAAACTGAGACCAGAGAGAGAAATGGACTTTCAAGGTCAACCCTGCTAGTTACTGATGGATCACAAGGCAAGTTCCTCTTACACCAGAAGTGTGTCAATAAAATCTTACCTTGGTTGCAGGGGATGAATTTAGTTTCTGAAGATAAAATTGCAGGTCGGTAAACGTCAGTCCTGAGACCACAGCCTGTTTAGCCCTTATAAATAGGGGTGGCAGGTTAGAAAGGGATAGGCGGAGAGAAGTACTAGAGAAAAGGGCAGAAGAAGGTGGGAAGATGGAGAGAGCAGGGTGAAGAAGAAAATGTATAGCTTTCTCCTCCATCATTTCCTGGGGCCCAATTCTAGCAAAGTGACACCTGCAGTTTCCTGGCTGCCTGAATCCTCGCTCATCCGTCTTTGAAACAACCCCCTGGATAACAATGAACTAGGCTTCATCTTACTTGACTGACTAAGTCTTCCCTGAGACAACTCCAATTAAATTAACACAGGCAGGACGTCCCAGGCATACTGAGAGTACCTCCCAGAGCCCAGAGCCCCAAAGCCTCAAAGCCCATAATTCTTCCCAGTCTGCCTGCCTCCCTTCTGGTAACGTCATTAAACCTCCTGTGAGAGCCTGCAGTGAGCAGTTCTGTGGTAAAACCCGCTGCAATTAAAGTCTGCATTCTCTCCTGTCCCAAAGGGCATATCTATACATGAGAAAGGGAGGGGAAGGATGTGGCCGTTTGTATTTGGTTCCAGCCTGCCACAGAAAGGCTGTTCTTACTGTGCCAGGGCCGGGTGGCCTTTGATAGAACTTGGGGATTGGATTGTAAGCAAGACTTTTTTTAAGTGTAGGCTTTCAGAGAATCTCTTTCCTCGCCATGGGATTTGAAATGCCCAGTCTTTGGGGGGCTTCCCAGAGTGTTGGGTTAGCTGAAGCTGTATATTTCTGATCTCCAGACAATGGTCAATGTGCTATGATGGACTGGTCTGAGTTAAGAGCAGATAAAGTTTTCAGTTTTCCAGAACAAATGATTTCAAAGGCTAAAACTATACACTGTCAGTCTAAGGTTCATCCACATGCAAAGAATCTTGCGAACTGTCAATGTTGGCTGCCTCCAAACGTTTTCAATTTGAAACCAGAAAAATATTTTTATTGATTCATTTTTTTCAATTTAAAGAAATAAAATCCAAGCATATTCAGCAGAGGAGTTTTGTTTTTCTTTTCATTTTAATGTTTAAAGTTTGATTATGAGGACTGAGAAAAACTTAATGATCGCATACATGCTTCGCTTTTTGGTTATTTAATCAGAGAGCTGGAAGGTCACGAAAGACTTAATCCAAGGATGGCTGCAGGATAGTGCAGTCAGTTAGTGGCAAACACAGAGCCAGGACTGGTGCAGGGACCCTGCGCCCCTTCAGGAATGCTAACCACTGGCTTTCCCCATCTGTAACATTGGAGATCAATTTTCAGTGAGTTATGGTTGTCATCACACCATTGAATATGCTGCAGGGGTCCTTTGTTTTCTAGTTGGTTTGCCATGGATGATGGTAACCCTCAGGAACACTCTACAAAGCTGAGGAGGGGTGAGAAGCTCCTTGCCAGTGGAAGCTGCAGGTATAACTTAACAAATGATCAAAGACAGTGATTTTCAACCTGTGTGCCACAGCATACTAGTGTGCCATGAGTGGATGTTAGGTATGCTTCAACATTTTTAAAGATCATTAATTAAATTATTTTCAAAAGAGGCTCAAAGCACAGTAAGTATATTCTTTTTTTATTTTTTTTAATCAACATGATTTAAGTGTGCCATGGAAGTTTAGAGGTTCCAGTGTGCCATGAGATAAAAACTGAACAACGCTATCCTAAGAGGACAATGTTTCATCTGCTCTCCCTGTCTCAGCTGTACTGGTGTTTCTTCCTGGAGAGACCCCGAGACAGGGGCAGAGTAGAGCCCTGTCTAATGCACATGCTCACTTATCTCCTTGCAGAGTTATCAGCTATGAGTGCTGTCCTGGATATGAAAAGGTCCCTGGAGAGAAAGGCTGTCCAGCAGGTAAATGAACCAGGCCTTGACTGCACTGCGGATGTGGGGGAGAGGTGGGAGGGAGGGGCACCCGTGGGAGAGGCTGCTGAGTGTGAACAGGTATCCGCAGTGTGAAGTTAGGTTCCGTTCTTCTGGTGTGCTCACTGTGGACTCTATCAGCTGTTTTTCTAGTTAAGAATGTGAGACTGAGACATAAAAGGGAGCAGAGTGATTCTCTTGGTGCCAAGGTCTCAGGGAGGGTGTGGTTGGCCTGGGTAGGACTGTGGCAATGCTGACTCTAGTGGAAGGACAGGCAGGGGAAATGAGATGGCAAGAGGAGATTGACCTTGGAAGAGCAACTCGACCTCTGAATCCTGGTTTCAGACCTTTCAAAATTACATTAAACTCGCTATCTGAGAAAGCCCTTCTAGGCTTCAGGCTTTTTTTTTTTTTT